TAAAAACGTACCCAAAAGCACTGTTCAGTCTCTTAAAACAAATCAACAAATACATTTATGTCAGCAGCAGAACAGAGCAGAGAGCAGCTTCTGGGCTGTTTTTCTGAAAGACGCTGCGGCACGTCTGGTGGAGACAAAAGCATTGTCTGTAGTGGCCATAATCTCGCCTCATACCTGACAGAGTTGTCAACTCAGTGGCGTGGGCTGATTTAAAGCTCTGGACTCAGGCAAGCAGCGATCAGCGCCGGCAGCCACGTCACAGCCTGAACACAGTCTGCACTGTGTGTGTGTTTGTGTGTGTATACAGGGTAACTCATTGTTAGCCCAATGTAATGGAGTAGACGTACATATGTTTTATCACAGATGTGCTCGACTATGCGGAAAAAGTATGCAAAACAACTGCTCATAGACTTTTAAACTATTTGATAAAAAAAAAAGTTAAGTAAATGTAAAGGAGTAAATGTAATGTTATTTTTCTCCACTGATTGTTTTGCATCTCTGTAGTTGTTTGATTACTGATACCTGATATTCCTAATACCAGGTATTATTGTAAAGGTGAAGACTTCATTCCAAATTACGATGTGTAACTGAACTTTCTGCAAACATAACTGCATTTTGAAGTGGAGGGTGTTACTCTAAATAACCATTGCAACAAGGTTCTCTCTGTTTTTGAATCATTATGTGTCCCAGACGTGCTTGTGCTTAAATAAAGATTGTCGACAGAGTTCTAATGCTGTGAAGGCCGTGGAGGCCTTGAAGCCTCCTCACTTCACTGCCTTTGAAAAGTTACATTGCTTATAGGATCATAGTGTTCTCTTCTTTCTCTGCTGCCTCCTGTTTTTATTCAAATCATGTGCCGTGCTTTAGATATCTGTCTTTTCATCTAGAATGGCTTGCTCTGTGAAGGTCAGACAGGCCATACAGTCCTTACCTCTGGTGGGAATAACTCTGTGGTCTCAAAATCCTCCTCTTTATATAGCCCTGATTAAAGGACCAAACGTCATTGTGCTGTAGGGCTCCTCTCTTTTTTTTTTCATCTCACGCTGCAATTGCTGCGCAGCCACACACTCATGGCTTTTGCCAACATCTTACCACCCACTACAGCTAGCGTTAATCATGGTTGACCTCAGGCAAACCTACTGTATTGTTTGAAACTGGGAGGTGAGTGATTTATGTAATTGAAGCGTCCTCATTCCCACCTCTCTGAACGCTTTATCAACCCAGCCATTTGGTCACAACACAAGGATGAAGACAAATGCTTTGGGTAATTAGCTGGCATAACCGTACAGGCGCCTGTTGTAATGAGATCTCTAGGCCACTGGAATGCTCCTTCCCTGCCTCGCCTCTGCCTTTTACTGTCCTCTTCGCCGTCTTTCACTGTCTGTCTGCATCGCACATATCTGTCTGAGCCTTTTTTCTTCATACGAACTCACATCGCTGTTGTTTTCTTTTGTTGTGCCCTTTTGTGCTCATTGTGTCTGCCGTACCAGCTGCAGCACAGTCTTGGCTGCACACGCCTGCCAGATTAACAGATCGTTTTGTCGTTTCCTCGCCAATTAGCTACAGCCAGATTGTTTACGTAACATGAAGTGATCTCATGCTTATTTGATTTATCCTGATTTCCCCTGCCTCCTCTCAGTAGTCCACAGGCTAGGTAGTGAAAAGGAGATACAAGGAGTATATGATTGAGATTTTTTTTCTTTCCGTGTGGTCACAAGACTAGCTGCCCGCTTAACCCTAATCTGTGAGTGTGTGTTTGTGTTTGTTTGCAAAGGCTCGGCCTGAGGTTTGTGTGGTCTGTGGCTTTTTGAAGGCCTGAATCAGAAGCACAACAGAGGCTGAGATGGCCCAGCATAACCCAGAGGTCTCCTTGTTAATCCCAGCATGCTCACATGCTTTGGATTCTGTTAAAAACTGGCAGATCAAAAGGATGAGTATCAACATTCATGTCAGCTATTTCACACAAAGACAATGGCCTGAAAACATGAGAAAAAGTGTCAGAGTCGATGGGTTTTGTTGGGGCTACGTGGAGCTGACGGATGCTAGTGGTTTTAATGGTGTGGAACAATGTGAGAAATGCCTCTCACAGTGCAACAGCAAGACGCATCATACAACATTCATTTGAATCACACTATTTTTTTTGTCTTTTTCTCCATCACTATTTCCCTCTGTTTCCCGCTCTCTGCCCCAGCTCACGTTTGTTTATGTTCCGTTTCTGCATTAAAATCCCCAGCTTTATGCGAAAGCGAGCAGTTGTCTGACAGCCACTTCCACTGTTTATACCAAAACACAGAGTCTACATGCTGCTATTCATCCGTTAGCCTATTTACTAAACTGATTAAACCTTGATGCATCAAAGCCCATCTGTCTCCCAAATCTAACTGCTGAGCAGTTAAATGTTTTGGTTCAATAGCATTGCACACCGAGGACGACAGAGGTTGTAGATGGGCTCCATTAAGGGACAGCACTCATGACATGCATTACCCCCATAATCACTATTATTTTAACAAGATTTCATTTGTTTTTATTAAAGCATGTCTGATTGTCATATTGCGTGATTAAATCAGAGAGATGGTCCTGCCATTCTAATTAAATTGCACACAATTGGACAGTCCTCCTTTTTAATCACACGGCTCTAATAAGAACTGACCCAGATAGCAATACTTTAAGGGTGTTTTGTTACATTATTAGCCAAGTGTCTCGGGAGTTCACCGAGCAATAACTGCACACAAGGCCAAGTTTATAGGTAATGAGTGTGTGTGCAAGTGTGTGCATGTTCACTGTGCGATTTGTTAATTTTTTAACAGAGGGCACGACCCCCCCTCCCAGCTATATTTTAGAGAATATTATAGATCCAAGAGGAAACTGACAGAAGGGCAGGGAGACATACTGTGTTTGAACTGCCTTTGGGAAGAATGAATATGAAGAGTCTGTCCACTTTTGATTTAAAGCTCTGTTTTCACTGTCTACTTTTCTCTCTGAAATGCGCCATGTGAAATAACTACTCTCTGACTCACTCTCATCTCTCCCATGTGTGTGTGTGTGTGTGTGTGTATCTCACTCACTGACTCGAGTTGCAACGGTTATCGGAGTACACAGATTTGATTGGCTAACTAGCATCATGTCAGATGATTTACAATGCCTTCAGTTGGTCTGTGAGTTTCCTGGACCAATAAACCAGTGCCATAATGGCTAGAAATGCTGCACTGGTTAAAATAGAAATGCTCTGTTATGTTTACTGGGGGACCAGTCCCAAATAACTCCAGAAATATTCAAGTGTGCATGTTCTATTATTATTCTGGGCAACAGTCTGTTGAGTTATTTTAAGACAATGGAAGGAAACAAATACCCCAGAACTGAGAGCATGGGTTAGTGTAATGGTAGAAACAGGATCTTAGAAATAGAAGACGAGTGGGGACCAGGAGGAAGGGGTGTCTCCCTGGGGCTGGTTCTGAGCTTAAATTAAAATGTAACTAAAATTTCATTTCCTTTTGGATGTATTCATTTGTTTACTTTTTACGGATTTACGTACTGGAGTCCGTCTCCATAATGTAAAAAAGAAATATACCCTGTTTTCCGGTACCCTGAAAAACATAATATACATTCACCAGCCACTTTAGTACACCTGTTCAGCTGCTCGCTAATGCAAATAGCTTATCAGCCAATCATGTGGCAGCAACTCAATGCATTCAGGCATGTAGACATGGTCAAGACGACCTTCTGAAGTTCAAACTGAGCAACAGAATGGGTAAAAAAGGTGATTTAAGTAACTTTGAACGTGGCATGGTTGTTGGTGCTAGATGGGCTGATCGGAGTATTTCAGAAACTGCTGATCTACTGGGATTTTCACACACAACCATAGCTACAGTTCACACAGGCTCACCAAAATTGTATGATAGAAGATTGGAAAAACATTGCCTGGTCTGATGAGTCTCAATTCCTGCTGCGACATTCCGATGGTAGGGTCAGAATTTGGTGTAAACAACATGAAAGCATGGATCCATCCTGCCTTGTATCAACGGTTCAGGCTGCTGGTGGTGTAATGGTGTTGGGGATATTTTCTTGGCACACTTTGGGCCCCTTAGTACCAACTGAGCATTGTTTTAGTGCCACAACCTACCTTAGTATTGTTGCTGAGCTTGTCCATCCCTTTATGTGTACCCATCTTCTGATGGCTGCTTCCAGCAGGATAATGCACCATGTCACAAAGCTCAGATCATCGCAAACTGGTTTCTTGAACATGACAATGAGTTCACTGTACTTCAATGGCCTCCACAGTCACCAGATCTAATCCAATAGAGCACCTTTGGGATGTGGTGGAATGGAAGATTCACATCATGGATGTGCAGCCGACAAATCTGCAGCAACTGTGTGATTCTATCATGTCAGTATGGACCAACATCTGTGAGGAGTGTTTCCAGCACCTTGTGGAATCTATGTCACGAGGCATTAAGGCAGTTCTGAAGGCAAAAGGGGGTCCCCGGTACTAGCAAGGTGTACCTAATAAAATGGCCGGTGACAGTATGTATTCCATGTACCGAGCCTTTTAAAAGCTTTAAAATGATGGTAGGTTAATTAGGGGGTGGCATTTTGCTCATTTTGCTAACAAGATAGATGCACCCCCCCAAATCGCCTATTGTGTATGTTGGATGGTGTACGTACCTCTATGCTTTTAATATAATATTCATCTATATATTCAACATACATACTAACTTTATATGACTATAATATAACATCAACATCACAAAGAAGAGAGTATATGTGGAGTTGCATCATGGGAAGTGTAGGATCCAGGGTTTGGGAGCTTACTCATACTGGTGGCTACAGTAACAGTCAAGATATCTTGGCCTCTGCTGCTTCTTTGTCCAACTGTGTGTATATGTATGTGTCACTGTTGCACATGATGCGCTGTATGAGATGACACAAGCCTGTGTGTGTGAGACAGAGGAACGTGATGACCCCTCCTGTTTTGTCTGACCCTGTCCTTTCTTGCTTTCCAGAGACACAATGGGGACATTTTAACAATGGCGTCAGTCAAGCACTTGAGTCACCGGCGCTTTGTGGTATCCTTCCAGCTAGACAACGTCCAGCGAACGGATCAAGACCTTTACCGCTGTGTCACTCAGTCCCCCAGGGGCTCTGGGGTCTCAAACTTTGCTGAACTTGTTGTCAAAGGTAAACACTCTCTCTGCTTTTGACTCTCATTGTTCTCTTTTGGGTTGTTTTCCCTCTTCTGTTTTCTTTCATCCCAACCATCAGGTTTCCTGCTGTTTTTTACGATAACATGATTTTCTGCTCTTTTCGGTCACGGTAGATTACAGTGTGTGATTCAAAGGAGAATTAAAATTCAAATTGATCACAACAAAGAGTGATAGCCACTAGTGTGAACACATTTCAGATTACCCATAGGACATCTTTTGTGCATGATTGTGGAAATCACAGACACCTATTTCAAACCGATTTCCATAAAACACAATTGTACAGTGCTCGACACACATGAAGGCTCTTTGGATGGCAAATGCAATCTCCCTGACACGTGTTGTTTTCTGAGCTGCAGTTGTCAAATAGGCTGCCATACTCAGCTCTTCAGCTCTCTGTCAAAAAGCCATTCACTTGACTTGGACTCCTGCAGCCCCTGTCATATCATGTACCACAGATGGTGACCTCACTCCCATTACTCACTCCAACCCCACAGCCTGACACCACTTTGACAGCATAGTAATGACATGGCTGTGAGATGGTTTGATGGCATAACAAACTCCAGCCCTCAGCGAAGGGAGGATGAGGAGGGGAAATAAGGGATTCCCGATCTCCTTGTCCTCTACTGTATGCTCTTGCTGATGTTATATTTTTTAAGTGACTGATGTGAGGGCAGAAGAGCGTTCGAGAGAGTGCAAAACACACTCTATTAATGGCAATATCAGCTGAGTAATTGGTTGGTCTGTCCATCAGTTTGGCCCTGATCAAAATAGCTCGACAACTACCAGATGGATTGCCGTGAAATGTTGCACAGATGTTCATGGTTCCCAGCTGATGTGTACGCATCACTTGGAAATTCCTTGACTTTGTGAACAACAGTAGGGGGTTGACATATGTGGTTGTTGGGGAAATGTCTCATTTCATCTATGGAATAGATTGCCATGAAATTTGATGTAAACATTCATGTTCCTCATTAGGACAGATTGTAATGTCTTTTGTGATCCCTTAACTTTTTCTCCAGTGCCATCATCACATCAGAATTTCTGTTTGCCTAATACTTTGGTTTATGGCCAAATACCTACAAAACTAATGGCATTCTCATTAGCGAAAGACCCATTATGCTCTTCCTTAATTTCATACCCATATATGTAATGTTAGAATTTCGGATGTTTGTGTTAAATGTGGCCAAAGTTTCAAATAATGAGATAGACATATGTCAAAGTAAACCTTGTGAGCAACAACCCTGAGGTTCAGGTCGTTCTGAATACTCTGTTTCCAACAATTTTTCCACTTTCAAGAGAAGTTGATGTGAGATCTTGACAGATTTTCTTATGTCGGCTCCAGGCATGCTACTGTGAGTGTTTATATGATGTAGCCTACACTGCTACATGTAGCTACATGCTAACATCAGGAAAACATGTCATCTTGTTTGCAAATCGTGTTAATTTCTCCTCGATTTCAGATCATATTCCTGTTGGAACATGTCTGGTTGTGATTAGGAGCCTTTATTGGTGATTTTTCACAATGGGAAGTGTTCTTCATAACAGCCATTCTTCAGCTACTTTGATGGTGTCGAGACACAAAGATATGGATGACCATGAAATGCTGAACAGTCAGAGCAGACAGAGGGTGAATACGTGTGTCCGCCACAAACAGTATGAGGAAAAGAATGTGTTTTCGCCATTAAAGCATGTAAACTTGTTCTAGTAGAAACTCAGAATACAAACCAAAGTAGATCCCCATTAGTTACCAGTGTCATTATCATCATATTAGCATTTAGCTTAAAGCAGTACTGTGTCAGGCTCACAGAGCTGTGAGCATGGCTGTAAACTTTCAGTTCTGTTTTGTTAAAGCATGAAGTAAACCCCTTTGACTGATATGGAAGCATGGCTTGAGTTTAGTATTGTGATGCAGGCTGATTGCCACAGTACAAAATGGAGCCCTTTTGCCAAAATGTTACTAATCCCTCTCACCAGTAGCTGCCAGTAAATGAGTAGTCACTGAATGCACTCATAGAAGGCCATGAAATCCCATTTAATGTGCTCACACTCTTAGCAAATAAGTATCATTGTATCCATGTGGTTGTTACTTTTTTGCTTTTTTCTTTTCTTAAATAATCAGGACAAAGGTGTTTTATCTTTATTAGCACATCCTGCACCATGAGTAGATGTAATAGCCAGCTCGAGGTCTTGTTCAATTCACATGTATGTAACCCTGTAATCATTTTCACAGGAGCTGAGACCGAGTCCTTAACGAGACTTTCATAAATCCCTTTTCCCCCACTGCCCCGCTACGAAGAGCCTAATCATCCCCCTAATGAGTTGGATCCACTAATTTGAAGACCGTAGATTGCATGCAGGAATCATGATGAAGCTCGCTTATTGCCCCATCGAGGACATCAACGTGTCCACATAATGAATAAAGCATTTTCATCTTTCTTAAAGGAATACTTGGCTCCCCAAATGACCATTTGTAAAGAGTTACTCACCCCGTGTTACACTGAATTTGTGAAGGGAGCTTTGGTTTTCTCTAATGCCTCCATGGTTAATGAAGATAGCAAAAAAGGAGGAACTTCTTGATGAATTGAAGTAAAGGGGGCTTTGTTTAAGGACAGCAAAACTTTATCAAACCATCTGCTTACAAACTTGTAACGCAACCTGTGCAGTATAATCCCATTTTCCTTTATCCAGCTGTGTGCTCAGTACTTCCAAACACATGCATTTCCCTCAAACTTTACTATTAACAGTCTCATGCATGGACGAATAGCACGCCAGGGCAAGCATGTGAATTGAACTCTGCTTGTGAATTCTATTGAAATCCAGCCCCCCAGCTTGTTCATTGGCCATGGGATCTGCTGTCACTCATCCATGTCTGTCACTTCCTGCGTGAGAGTTGGCAAATGGATGTTTTAATTTGCTTTGCAGTTGTTAAACATGGCCCCCTTTCACTCAGTTCATTACCAATTCATCAACAGTTTTCTGCATTTTTTGAATTCCGCATTCACCGTGGAGGCATTTGAGAAAAACAAAAGTTTTCTTCATGAACTCAAGGTAACACGGGTAATTGATATACAAATTATCATCCTGGGGGTGAAGCGTTCCTTTAAGGTACTATATGTGTCTGGCTTTTGTTTTGCCCTATATTATATTTTGAGCCTGAACACATTTGAATGTGTTTTCAGGGATTTGCGAGCTTACATCTCAGAGCAGAGAAATCATTAATTATACAGAAAGCAGTGTTTAGCTTGAGAATAGGTCTCTATACAGAGGGGAGCAATGAAAAGGACAACTAATCGTGTACTGAGGAAAAATAAAGGGTATAATAAACAAAATAAATGAGCAAAAACTGAGCTGTGGATTTAAAGGGTGAAAGAAATGAGTGAGTTGTTTTGAATTTTACCCCACTGGATGCTTAGCCTTAGGCCTAAATTCGGACTTTCATTATGGATGCAGTCATTGACAGTCCAAAGATGAGCTGCTGCAGGCGTATTCAAGGCAGAGAGAAGCAGTACGGAGTAGAGGTGAGGTGCTGGTAATGTAGAAAGCTTGCAGAGAGGAGGGCCATAAAAGACAGAGGCGCCTCTGCTGGAATGAAGGATTAGTCACAGCCACAGATCTAACTCTGATCTTTTCTCATGCTTTGTCCTCATTTCTTTTGCATTCCCTTCCCTCCCTCACACTGTTGCCCGTGTAATTGTTCAGTGGCTTGGATCTGCCAGTAAGTGACATTTGACCGGTGGGCTCCAGAATTAATCCTTGGGTTTGGCAATCTTTACCGACAGTGATGCAGAGTCTTCTCTTTCATCATGGTTACCAGCTGCGAGGACAGAACACTCAGTTAGAGAAAAAGATGTACAGCACTTAATCCTCCTGCTTCAAAGATCATACACACTCTATGCACTGCATGCACAGCTGTTTTTTCACTCACTTCATTTCTAAAATGTATTGGAGGCTGTGAATGCCTTGTTAATAGGTATGACTAATCGGCTATTTGAACGCAGTTTGACCTGCGCACCCCTGCAGTCTCTCGGGTCTCATTTAAGACTCAGTGGGCTTTCACATAGTGAGAAATCTGTTTGCATGCAACTGATTAATAAAATTAATACCACAACTTTACCTCCCTGGACTGTGCAGCGGTGCTACGTGGCCTGCCAGCAAATGCTTTCACCCTTACAAACTTGTATTTGAACAGGAAAACAAAAAACACTGCTTTTCATTTCCTCTGACAGTACCTCCATCCCCCATTGCGCCACCCCAGCTGCTGCGCGCCGGCTCCACTTATCTAATCATCCAGCTCAACACCAACTCCATCCTGGGAGATGGCCCCATTATCAGGAAGGAGATTGAGTACCGTGCCAGCCAGTCTCCGTGGTCAGAGGTGCACGGAGTCAACATGGTCACCTATAAGCTGTGGCACCTGGATCCAGACACAGAGTACCACATCAGCGTGCTGCTGACTCGGCCTGGAGAGGGAGGAACTGGCCCGCCTGGACCGCCTCTCGTGAGCAGGACCAAGTGTGCAGGTGAGCCTCAACACACCAAGCAACTGGACTTAATGCAGTGGTTCCCAACTTTTATAGCTTGTGACTTCTTAGAGTGAAGCATTGTCTACTTGTGACAAGTTGTGGTGTTAGTGTACAGTCTGGCTTGGTAATAAAACAATCTCTAATATATATATACTGCTAACGATGATAAGCTTTGGATATTTTTACTCGATATGGATTACACAGCAGAAATAAACCCAGCAACAGCCAGTCAGTCTGCTGCCTATCTTGTCTCTGACCTCTGTGTCACTGCCTGTCTGCAGGAGGGCGGGGCTGTGCTCCACACACTCAGTGGACAGTAGTCTAACTTCAATGCAGAGCCCACAGTGGTGGGAAAAAAGCAGACTTAAGGATCTATTTTACTGTAGTCAATGACAACAACAATGCTCACTGTCCACAAGTGCCACAAAAGAGAGAGAGAATGATCAATATATCAGGCACCTGGTGAACAAGCAGATCACAAACTTGCCCGCAGTAACTTGCCTCCTTTCTTTTACACAACCATGGATATCTTTATGCTAAAGTGCTGAAAGTGAACTTGCATTAACCTCCAAAGCTGAGGACATTGTTGACCAAAAAGGTAACACGACATCAATTCCATGAAGCCCACTCATTGCTGACCAGGACAAATCTTTTCCATCAAAAAGGTACAGTACCATCCCAGCGACAACACCATTATTATTATATTGTTTTTGTCAAAGCAGATGAAGCATGTTTGTAAAGTGAAATGTTAACATTGAGATGCTATTCAATATATTCCTTTATCACACAATATATTCTACAATAAGCCATGTTCACACTGTGAAAAATGTATGTTATACTTTTTTTAAAAAGTTAAATTTACTGTATTCTTAAGTCATTATAAAGTTAAATTAATTAACCTTCCAGTTTCTTCAAGCTTCAGTCATTATCAGGATCAAATCAAATTGGCAGGGTTATCAAATTATATATCGTGACTAATATCAATGTTGATCAGTATGAAAAAAAAGTATCATATTTTTTGTCATATTGCCCAACCCTGGTGTATAGCATGACTAAAGTTTTTCCTACACCGTTTATTTAATTTTAGGGATTTTTAGTGGCTATGAATGGTGAGCATTTTATTTTATTGTATTGTATTTTATTTTATTTCTGATTTTATTTTATTGCATTTTATTTTATTTTATTTTATTCAATTTTTTTTTTTATTTATTTTTTTAGTAGAGTCAGAAAAATTTAAACATAATTCTGTGTAAAATATTTTTTCCTTCATTATCCCTCTACTCATCTTGAGACCTTCAGGTTGGGAACCACATCCTTAATATATTATAGTGTTTTACTTCAGGTCATATAGCATAATTTGATTGCAGGCCATGTTAGATAATAGAGCTCAGAGTGGAAGTTCAAGGCGAGTATAACACAACCATATCTCCTTCAGCTGGCACGCTCATTCATATAAGATAGGAGAGTATTTTAAAGCCTGACTCCAAACATGACAGTGCTATTGCTACTGCAAACTGCTATCTGCTGGCCAGTAGCTGCTGCTGCTGCATTGCAAGCTGAAAACACACCACCCACCACCCAGCGTTCATCCGTATGTTATTTGCTTCAAGATAAATTATGCTGTATTGTTTACCTTATCACTGACATCTGTTGTATGGCAGGAGTGTGTAGCTGTATCTGAATCCCATCATGTGTTGCCATGCTTACAGTGAAAACAGGCTACAACAGTCTATTCAGTCCTTTCCTGTTTGGGGTTTTGTGTCTGTCTCGCCAAATATGAGATTTTTTTTTTTTTATTGGGCAGAGACAGTCCTCTGAAAGGAGCCATTATGTGGTGTGTACTGCTTAGGGGAATTACAGTGTGCACTGTTTAGGTGATGCAGTCCCCCACAGCGCTGGATATGGGAATACAGTGTGTTGAACACCTGGCTGTTTGGTAAAACCACAAACTTGGGGCAACAGGGTCTTCACTGCAACCTGTACCAGGACGTTGCTGTGTGATTTTCTAAATTGCAAAGGCGTATGCATTTAATCTAGATTAAACTGATATCAATAAATATGTCTTCTATGTACTTAATGAATTTATGACAGATCCCAAGCTCAAAGTCCTGATTCCCAGCAGCCACACACTGAAACTTCAGAGAGTCTTACATTATGGAGCTGCATCTGTCACAATAATCTGCTGAAATTGAATCAGAGAGGAGCTGATAGACAAGTTCGGACTCAGTCGCTGCATATACTTATCTCTTAAGAAAAGGCACATTTGCTATCACTGGCGCTCTCTGAACTCTGCAACTGAGGAGACTGAGAGGGGGACTTTTCCTGCTGCAAGCACAGCAATATCGGTTTGACGGTTATTTAAAAGATAACAGCTGGCTGACTGCAGTGGCTAGCCTATAGCAGGATTTTTTGGGTATCTACTGAAGAGGATAGAATTTTTATTTGGCATGTACAATAAATGGACAAGAATTTGTAGGTGACAGTGGTGGAGACGTATCAATCACAGTACACAGATACAAATTGTAAACAGTTTCAGAGGGACATACATCACTGTGAAGAATATACTATCTGTATGAGGCAGAGTGCCAAAAATGCATTTGAAAAACTTAGCAAATGGATTGCACTTGCATAGTGCTTTTCTAGTCTTCCAACCACTTGAAGTGCTTTTAACACTATGTCACATCCAGCCATTGGTGGCTGAGGCTGCCATACATACAGTAGTGCCTGCTGCTCAGTAACCATTCACACACTCTCACAGACTTGTAGTACAGCCATTGGGAGCAATTTGGGGTTCAGTATCTTGCCTTAGGATATTTGTGGCCTTTGACAGAAGGAGCTGGGGATCGAGCCACTGATCTTCCAATTGGTGGGCCACCCGCTCAAACTCTGAGCCACAGGTGCCCCACACAGCAATGTCTTTTTCCAGAAATCGTGACTTGGTGATAATCCACAGATCTTGTTGTGAGCAGTTTCATGTCCGAACTGTTTCTGTTTTCTGTTTACCGAACTACACTCGTCAACCGAAGTGTGCATCTACTCATCAACGAGAGGCTTGTGACTGCATGAGATGTAAATATTAATCGCTACTGCTTGATGAGCTAACAATACATGCAACCAGGTCATGATTTCTGGAAAAAGACATAGCTTTTGAGTTTTTCCAAATGTATTTTTTTGGCACTTTGAGCACCACAAACAGAGCACCATTTAGTTCCTTATTTTACAAAGAAAGCAGACATCTCATGGCCAATATCTCCAACACTTAGCAATACTAAAACAATCTAGACTGATATATAGCATTACAGATAAGATGAAAAATATGTATTTGTGATTACAAATAACTACAACTAGTCCATACCCATTGAGTACAGCATACAATACCATGACTTAATCATACCAAAAATAATAAGAAAAAAATAACAAACATTTGGCCACAGGGGGAGCCACAGCGATCGGTCTCATTTTAACCATTTTTAAGCATTTTTCTGTTGTTATAGCGCCACCCAGTTGCCAATTAGAGTTAAATTTCTCCAGTCACCTTGAGGCGTCCTGTTATACATATCTACCAAGTGTATAGGTGACCATCTCTAGCGCCCCCATTTTGTTTGATGGGGTCAATAATGGAGGGGTCCCCTCAGATTATGTGTGGTCATATGCCTACAAAGTTGCGTGGTGATCGGTGAAACCCTTGAGATGTTATACACCTTTATGTGATGAGCCACGCCCTCCGCAATATTCATTGCCTTATAGAAGCTCAGTTTTAGTAAGTTTTCCAACTTTTGCCAAGAGGGAACTTTAGATATTGGTCCCTAGATTATGTTCACCGAGTTTCATGCAGATCGTTCAAACTTCCTATGAAGAGATCGATTTTAAATGTTTTTCAAAAAATTCAAAATGGCGGAAAATCTTTATAACCGAAAGTTATGGGTTCTTGAGGCAAATTTGTTCCTCATGTGGAGAGACATGTGTGTGCAAAATTTCATGTCTCTACGACATACGGGGCATGAGATATGCCAAATTTCAATCGGTTTTGCTATAGCGCCCCCTTTGGCCAATTGATGTAATATTGCTTCATTCTCATCCTCCCATGACCCTCTACCACTGTGCCAAATTTCACATGGATTGTCCAAGTCAGTGAGGAGAAAAACGTGGAACAGACACACAGACAGCGTTTTTGTCATTATATAGTAAGATAACAGCTAACATTCTGGTAAAATTCAGTTTGAAATAATTACTTTTCATTCTCATCTGTCATTGAAGTGAAGGTTTCCCTCCCATCAGGCTTTTCTTTCCTTTACTGAACATTTTGTCCCGCCCTCTCACATCCGTGCACCTCTGTCATCTGTCACTGTGCCGACACAGAGCACCCAGGGAGATGAGCGGGGTACCAGCAATCTACACCCATGCTTCCTTTTAAATATATGTGCACATATTAACACAATGAGCGCTGTGTTGATGGGGATGCACGCACCAAGATGCAGGTAGTCATTACGGCTGCCTGCATCTGCAATGTGTACGCGGTGCTCACAGGCACACGAAATGGAGAGCTTTGTGTTACCCAAAGGCAGTCTGTGGATTTGAGTCTTCTATGGTCATCACTCTTTCCTATGCCCGACGGTCCCTTCCTGCCACACACTATCCCTCACATATCTCTCTACCCTGCTCCAGTAGAGCCTCCCTGGCCCCCTCTCCAATGACATATTAGAGCTACTCTCCTCTCTCAACAGCCAAAGACACCCCCCATTCATCAGGGCGCCATGAGTGAGCTCACAGCCCTCCCTCCACCAGTCCCTGCACACCCCGCCCCAGCTCAAGAGACACAGAAAATTCACAATAAAAAAAGTAGAAAAAGTCGATAGCAAAAGAGAGGGAAGAGTGGAGGGATGGCTGCCGTGTGGGAGTATGTGTGTGGGAGAGAGGGTAGTTTTTCAAAGTGAGAGAGTGAAACAGTAAAAAATGAGGAGAGTGAATGTGCGAGAGGTGAAGCGAGAGAGGATCCA